CAAGTCAGGAAAAAGTAGGGTCTTTCACAGTAGAAGTCATTAGATTTTATAAAAATTTCTTTAGCTAAAACCTCAACTTCCTAAAGAAACTTCTAGAAGGAGATTTTTTCCCTATGTTCCATAGAATAAAACTTTCTATTGATTTTTTAAAATTAATTCCTGATAATGATCATAAAAATATATGTCCCAGAATTCCAAAAAGGTGTGACAACACCTTGTGGGAGAGACACGTGGGACCTTGTGCCACACTCCTCTTTCTGTCGTCCCATGCCAAGAACCACGGGGCACCTGGCTCTGGAAAGTCAAGAAACATGGTGGAGCCGGTCTTGTCCTCAAATAGAGAAGCAAATAAAAATAATCACCAAGACCTCAATTCCCTTACATTTCTCTCTCTTTACCCTGAGGGAGAGTAGGGAAGGCAATACAGCAGAACCACACACAGATCAGCCCAAGTCTGCTTTCCCAAGGCCCTCTGCTATGCACAGTGCAGCACCTCAACCCCTTCCAACTGGAGGAGAAAAGGATCCTAAGGGAACAGGATGCAGGAAAAATAACATCTTACTTATTTTCTTTTTATTTTTTTTGTAAAGACCAGGTCTTACTAGTTACACAGGCTGGTCTTGAACTCCTGGGCCTAAGTGATCTTCCCACTTCAGCCTCCGTAAGTGTTGGGATTACAGGCATGATCCACTGCACCTGGCCACGGGACAAGTGATTTTTTACTAAAGGAAAGTTTCACTAACAGGATTGTCTCAAACAAATGAATGAATCTAAAGTGTTTTTCCTGCTTTTTAATGTATGGTCCATTTTATTAATATGTTGCATTGAGGGTTAATAAAGTGCTTGTGTTTAGTAACTATTGCGTTCCATTCATGCTCGTAAAAGTCTATAAGTGAAAAAGAGAAGTCTTAATAACAAAGTGAAATGGATCAAGAAAATCAGTGTTTTTCCTTATCTATGCTCATACAACACCCTGACACTCATGCAGGGGGCTTTTCTCTACACCAAGCAATTCTGCAGACTTCACTGGATACCACCTGGCATCTTCAACTTCAACTAATCCTGACACTATTAGCTCAAACCTCGTGGCCTGGAGGTGCAGTCCCACAAGCCTCCTGACATCCCTTTAGTAGCCAGCATAACACAAACCCAGGCTTCAACCATACCTCAGGGTTCCCACCACCCCCTCCGATTAACTTGCCAGAGCAGTTCACAGAACTCAGGAAAACACTTGGCTCATGCTTATCTATACTGTAAAGGATCTTACAGAGGACACAGAAAAGCAGCTGGACGGAAGAGCCACACAGCGAGGCACAGAGTTCCAGGCCCTCCCAGGAGTCTCCTCCAGAAACCACGTTCAGCTATCCGGCTTCCAGCACCCAGTCCTCTGGGGGTTTCATGGAAGCTTCGTAATGTAGGCATAACTGATCAATCACTTGTGATTGTTCATCAACTCAATTTTCAGTCCCTCTCCTTGGAGGTGGGGCTTAGAGTTCCAACCCTCAGATAATGCCTAGGTCTTTCTGGTGACTAGTCCCTATCCTGAAGCTGTTAGAGGCTCCCAGCCCACAGCCATTTCATCAGCACACAAAAGACACTCTTTTCACTCTAATGCTGTAACCAGGAAACAGGATGAAAATCAAATATATATCTCACAATACCACACAAAACAAAATTAAATGTTTCCGTGTCAGACCCTAACACTGCTTGCTACATGAGAGCAACTGACTTCTTGGCTAGTAAGAAAAAATTTATAATGAATGATCAGAAAATAAAACTGTCTATAAAGAAACCCAAATTTGGGTATGCACCAAAAATAAAGGAACACTACGTTGAGACTCAAGGTGTCAAACTCCCTGTCTGCACTGGACACTCTTGGCTCATGATTATTATGCTGGCATAATTACTGAGAGTGTCCGTTTTTACTCTCAAAAATGGCACAGTTTGGACAACTCAGTATATACCACTCTATCTGGAAATAAAAATGATTCCTGAACATTCTCTGACAAAGGAACATTAAGGTTTTCAGAAACATCCGGATGCACAGAGAAATGCAGCACAATTCGCTTTTACACTCCCCAGTCCTGAAAGAGTTACTGAGCACATGAACTGTCACTGCTGTAAAGGAATAAAGATTGACCAACACTGAATATTTGCAGAATTTCTTCAGACACAAGTGTGGGGCTTGGCCTTGCAACCTATATTTGGAGCTCCCTCCCGCCCCATCTCGGGATCTGGAGCCAGGCAGGGTGATTCAGCACCTCCATGGCATTCATTAAAATGCCACAGTGCTGCACAACCAGGAAGGGGAAAAGGTATAGGACACACAAACATCAAAATCAAAACTGCTTTCTTTAAAAACAAAAAGGATGAAATGCTGTGCATCCCTGCTGAAGGGTTCGTAAAGCAGCCGAAGTGACAAGTGCGTCTCTTACCACTGTCGCCAGGCAAGTCATCCTACGGTTGTGCAAACTGCTCAAGAGATGCTCAAAAATACATATATGGGACATCGAAGAACACAAGGGACCTTTCAGGGGCTGGGCAAAGGAGAAACACGCTGCATCTGCTTGCATGGGCTCACCTTCCAGATCCTGACTTGTTCCTTGCCTCCTAGAGGGCAGACTGCAACTTCCCACCCTTGTAGCCCTCATCTCTCATCTTTGAGTCCTTACACACTGCTCTGCACACAAGAAATCTGCAACCAATGTTCAGTGAAATAAACTAATACAAAAAGGAGGAAAATGCTTTCAAATATAATTTTTGCGCCAACATTCTTTTCAAAGTGCAGTATAAAAAAAAACCCAATCCAGGAATAGTGGCTCATGTCTGTAATCCTAGGATTTTGGGAGACAGAGGTGAAAGGATTGTCTGAGCCCAGGGGTTCGAGACAGCCTGGGCTACTTGGTGAGAACTCATCTCTACAATAAATAAATAAATAAATAATAAGCTGGGTATGGTGGTACACTCCTATAGTTCCAGTTACTTGAAAGGTTGAGACAGAAGGATCACCTGAACCCAGGAGGTCGAGGCTGTGGTGGCTGTGATTGTGTCACTGCACTCCAGCCTGGGCAACAGAGTGAGACTCCAACTCAAAAAAAAAAAAAAGAGAAAGAAAAGAAACTGCCATGCGTGTGGAGGTGGAGAGGAAGAACCATGCCAAGAGCAAGCGGGTGCTGCTGGTGAGAAGAAATCTATTCTTCTAGAAGTGGTGTGTAAAGGTTTGACAAGCCTAATTATCACAGAAAGTCAGATATATTGTAATCAAACCACACCCTCCCCAGAAAAAAAAAAACAGCTACATAAATTATGTTAGATCTTAAGTCATAACCCCCAACACTTAAGTTATAAAAAAGTTCCACTGAAATTTATTTCAAGTCTCAGCTGAGGAGAGCTTGAGCATTCTTTTTTTTTTTAATTAATTTTTGTAGAGACAGGATCTCACTATGTTGCCCAGGGTGGTCTCAAACTCCTGGCCTCAAGTGATCCTCGCGCCTCAGCCTCCCAAAGTGCTGGGATTACAGATGTGAGCCACTGTGCCCCATCAAGCCTTCTTTAAAACAGACTTTGAGGCACTTTTTATTTCTTTTCCTCAGCACCCTTTGCAAAGGTACTGGAGTTTGAGAAGTCACCACCTAACCACTGAAAGTCTCCTTCATAAGGAAAGCTATCAAATGGGCCTCAATGCATCTTATCAAAACGGCCTTGAGTCCCTCTTCCTTCAGGACAACACCCACTCCTCCCATCAATAAGACAACTAGGTGAGCATGACCTAGTAATCAGCTCACAGGGTTATACAGGAGCTCATAGGACAGGGCTGGTAGAGAAAGGAACAGTGATTCCTGCCAACTCCCAATAGTGCAAAACAATGTTGCCTTCTCCAATAATACTCCACACAAAGGAAGCATTTCCTCAGGGACCTGACTTGTAAAAAATAGTAAAACTGAAACATTCAGGTCCCCTGAATTTTACAGTAGCCAAAAGCATTAAATGTCTAGCTCCCCATTTGTAAAATAGGCATAAATACTGTTACCACTTTCCTATATTTTAGAAAACGAATAAAAATGACATAAGCCACAAATATTCTCTTAAATTCTAGACATTTAGACAGTTACTTGCTCTTCTGAATAGGCATAGGTCAAAATAAAATATTTGACATATAGATTCTATATTCTGCTCCTGATAAAGAACAGAAGCACTCACGATCCACTCTGTAAATCTGCTTGGGGCCCAAAATATCATAAATTCAAATAAGGAATAGAAGGCAGGAAAAAAGACCTCTTAAACTCTTTGGATATTAAACACATTTGTCTTCCACTAAATGCCTTTTTTAAAAAGTGTCACCTTTTGAACTAACCAGAAAGTAAAGCAATTGCTCAGTCAATACAGATTCAGTCCTGACAGATTATGCCAACCAAGACTGGTCTTCATATTATACAAATAATTTGTTTCTATTCATCATAATCTTTCTAAATGACAAACTGTTACCTACCAAAAATATAATGGAAAAAAGTATTTTTCTCTACTAATCAATTAAAGGAAGAAAGGGGTTGTTCACATTTAAACACTCAATTTTAGGTGGAAAGACTGACAGAGACACTGCAGCCAAATAGCTTTTGACAGCACTCCTCTGTGTTCAACCTGGCAGCAGCTTTTACTCCAAAAGATGGAACACTGCACCCTTACATAAAGCCTCCCAGAGACCCGTCAGGACCATGGACACACTCATTCACTACTATTTGGTGCCCAGCACCCCTGACAGGTACTGGACACCACTTCAGGCATCTAAAAATCCAGTCCCAGCTGAATCAGAGAAGCGAAACACACAGCAATCTAACCCTGCAGACCCCAAGTTAATCCCCTCTGGCTTCTCCCCTGTCATAACGTTAGCTACTTTCTTAGTAAAATGCTGCAGCAAAGTGTGTGAAATCAGATTCTGGCAGAAGATTGACCAAAGAACCCTCCTGTGGCTGTGCCCTCAGCATAGCCAGCCTGCTGCCTACCTTATTATGTTTTTGCTGGTGTCGTGCCTTTGTGTCGAGAATGTGGTAAGGGCTTTCTGTGTCTTGGTTGATGTAATACACAAGCCTTGCAGGCAGTGTGATCTCCTTCTGCACGGCAGTCCTGTAACTGTTGTTACTGCTGCTGTTCTGTTGCAATGTAACGTCTCCAACGGCCAGGACTTCCAATTTTTTTTCTGCAGTTTCATTCCAATGCGGAGCTGGGGGACAGGAAACACAAATACACACACACACACACAAATCTATAAATATATAAGCACTGAGACACATCTTCCACTTGACTGCAAACACAAAGTTTCCTATTTATACAGCATGTAAGAAGTGGAGACACAGGAACGCCAGGTATTTCAACGATGAGATGGCCTTGTTAAGTCAACCAGGCTTACACCATCCTGCACTGGTTATTTTGATTTATGTTTTACGTATACATCGCCCGGTCCACCACAAACTCAACTTCCAAGTACGGAGGAGGACAGGGCAGAATGAACTTGAGGAGTTACTCAATAAACAACCCGGGATCCTGGCCCTGGCCCCACCTTCCTGACTGCTGCTCCACCTTCCTGACTCCTGCTCCACCTTCCTGACTCCTGCTCCCACCCGAGAGCCAGGACGCCCCCATGACTTGAGCACTGAATTCATGGGCACAAAATGCCGAGTCTTTTGACGAAACGGACCGTTCCCTTCTCAACTTTGAGATGAGCATATCCTTCGCCACGGAGGGATGCAGACGCTGGCGACTTTCCAATTTCTTTTACTTTCCTGCAGAGGCCAGCGCTCTGCGGTCACTCCAGTCATTCATGCATCGGACATTACTAGGTGTTAGTTATCGTGACAAGCCCCGGAAGAGCCCACAGCAAGGGTCGTGCACGAAGTAGGTCCTCGGCGCCTCCCCCGCCCGATTCCAGCAGCGGCAGGACATCTGAGGGGACAACCACGGCCGCCGCCACCGCTCCCTCCCGCAGGGCACAGCGCCCGCGCTCCCCCGCAAGTTGCGCGGACGCGCAGGGACCCGGGCCCCAAATGCTTCCCGAGGGCCCCTCGCATGGGAACGGCTCTGGCTAGCGCACAGAGACGGACCGGGCCCGGGGACCAGCCCAGAAGGCAGGCTGGGGCGCGCGGACGCAGGGCCGGGGCCCGGGGAAGGCAGGGTGCCGGGCGTACCCACCGCGGGGCCGGGCCGGGGCGGCGAACGCAGGCAGCAGCAGCAGCGCGAGCAGCAGGCGGGCCGCGCGGGCCGGGACGTGCGGGGCGCGGGCGGGCTTCGGGCCGGCGGGGCTGCAGCCCGGCGGCCTCATGGCGCATCGCCCCGGGCGTGGTGAGCGGCCGGCGGGCGGCGGGCTCAGACGGGCGGGGCGCGCATGGCGGGTGCGATTCTCGCGCTCCCCCGGCGCTCCCAGCGTCTCCTCCCGCAGCGCTCCCGGCGACTGCGGGCTGCCGCGGGCCGGGCTGCCGGGCGCGGGCAGCGCGATGCGGGGGCGAGCGGTGCGTGCGCCCCGCCCAGAACGCGCCGGGTCCGCGGTGCTGATACTGCCGCCGCTCCGGGCGCGGACGCACTGCGCATGCTCCGCCGTGGGAGGGGACCGCAGTGATGCAGCATCCCGCCGCGGAGGTGACGGCGGCGCCCCTAGGAGGCGGCGAGTTGCGGGTGGCTGGAACCCGTCGCGGGGGGACAGGAGGGTGCAGGTGATCCGACTGGGGCGAGGGATGCTCCCGAGAAAACGGTCGCGGGAGAAATCCCCTGCCGTTCTACCGCACAGACCTCACACCTTCTCGCTCCAGCCCCCAGCTCGGGATAAACGGAGGCCAAGCTCGTCCTCCTCGGTCCTTCATGTGTGTCCTAAATGCAAGTCATGTAGAGGTTTGTAGCCTGCAGGCTCACTCAACCGCGGGGAAGCCGGCTAGAGCAAATAGGCAGCTGGGACCCCGGGGCGCCTGGGTCCCCCTGCCTGGGTCCTTCCCCTGGGTCTTCCCCACGGTCTTCCCCACAGGTCCTCTCCCTGGATCCTCCCTGCGTGTCCTTCCACCTAGGCTCTCCCCAGAAGTCCTTCCCCCTGGATCCTTCCCCCAGCGTCCTCCTTCCCGGGTCTCCCCTGCATGTCCTTTCCTCTGGATCCACCCCACAGGTCCTCCCCTCCCCCTCCCTGGGTCCACTTCCTGGGTCCTCTTCCCCAGATCCTCCCCCTGGATCCTCCCCAAAATCCTTTCCCCTGGGTGCTCCTCCCTAGGTCCCCCCATCCTCCCCACAGGTCCTTCCTCCTGGGTCTTCTTCTCTGGGTCCTCCCCACAGGATTCCTCCCCATGGATCCTCCCCCTGGATCTTCCCCACAGGTCCTTCCCCCTGGATGCTCCCAGCCTGGTCTTCCCCCCAGAGTCTTCAGTCCCGGGTCCTTCCCCAGTCCTTCCCCCGGATCCTCCCTTCTGAGTTCTCCCTCCTGGATCCTCTCCTCCCAAGACCTCCCACCTGGATCCTCCACTCCTGGACCCTCCCTCCCAGGTTCTCCCAATCTGGGTACTTCCCACCTGAGTCTTCCCCTCCTGGATCCTTCCCACCTTAATGCTCCCCACCTGGATCCTCCCCACCTGAGTCCTCATCACCTAGATCCTCCCCTCCTGGCTCCTCCCCTCCTGGATCCTCCCCACCTGAGTTCTTCCCGTCTAGATCCTCCCTTCTTGGGTCCTCCTGGTCACTGCCTGGGGTCCTGGAGGAAGAAGATTAAGGCAGAAGACATTTGCTCACAAGTTCAGAGAGCAGGACCGAGTGTGTGTGGAAGGCCCTAGAAACGCTGGTGGGGAGAAACAGATGAGAGATGAGCACGTAGCACTATCTTGGGAAATCTGCTGTTTATCACCCTGGGTGGGCACACATGGAGGAGGACACGGTTCTATTTTGAGCTCCAGTCCTGACATCTGCAGAGAAGAGGAGGGGTTTCCTCTGGAGGCTGTAAAAATGCAGATTCAGGGCCCCTGGCAGGCCAGTTTGGTTCACAGTCTCTGAACCTAGTGGCTTCGAATAAGAGCCTGGGGCATGTGTCTGCCCCAAACTCCTCTAGGGCAAGCACGCATTCATCCATCCTCCCAGCAACAGACTGGGCGATAAGTGTTGTCTTACTGCATACTTGTATTTAAAATGGAAACAACAACACCTACTTTGGGAGTGTGGAGGTTGTCAAGAAGTCCATGGGTTTAAAGCACCACGGCCAGGACAGAAGACAGTGCTAGCCATCTGTCTTCTTCTGCCACCAATTGCTGAGAAAAGCAGAAGACAAAACACACACACACACACACACATACACACACACGCATGCACGAATCCCTAAGATTAGCTGCTGGGGAGTTAAATCCTGATTTTATCTCTTCCTTTCTGTGTCAGAGCTCAGATATCACTATTATATATGTGTTCCTGTGAATTTGCTGTTGACGCCACCTACCCCACATGAGGTCAACAGTCTTCCTTTCAGCTCAGTACTGTGTCCCTAGGACTCAGCACAGCATTTGAGGCACAGAGAAATCTCCTGGAAAATATGTTGTGAATGAATGAATGGTGCCCAGAAGCAGGACTCATTTTCAGGACAGGACAGGGAACACTCCCGCCTCCTGGAGCTCCTGCTGTGGATAATGTTCCCGGGGACGCCCCCTCAAGGCATACGTGTTCTGGCCAGGCTTCCCCCATTTATATTTGATGTAACATATATCCCAAAAGGGGGCCTGGCAGAGAGAAAGCCGAAAGAAGAAAGAAGATGCACAGAGAGAGGGAGAAGGGAACGGGCGGTGAGAAGCACCCAGGTGCAAGTCACTTGAAAGGCATCTCTTGCAATTGAGTGACAGCCTTCTGACGTCTGTTCCAATAAATACGTCTGCCAGCCAACCTGCACAGGCTGAACGCCTGCCAGTTAGGACCATCATCACATGCACCTGGGGACAGAACAAGCATTCGATTCAGTTTCTAGTAATAGCAGGTGTTTACAAAAAGGGATGTCATCTTACATACCAGAATCAAAAGACAGCATTTATTTACAGAACTTTAGTGTTTTCAGACATTGCTAGAGTCAAGATAATGTATCAGTAAATGAAACAGTGAGTCAGAGAAAGAGCAAATCACTTAGAAAAAAGGTACTGGAAGTTTAGTCCTTAAACCATATATGTAAGGGACAGTGAAAAACAGAATTGACTATTCTTTCATTGACCAATTTGTTAGACTCAATGGTATTCTCATTAGGTAATCTGGAATCCTTATTGTTGCAGAGTTTGCATCTACACTTTCCCTCTGTGTTTTCTTGTTTTTTTGTTTTTGTTTTGAGTTGGAGTCTCTGTCGCCCAGACTGGAGTGCAGTGACACGCTTCCGGCCATCCTGCTGGGCTCCGGCGATCCTTCCGCCACAGCCTTCCAAGTAGCTGGAATTACAGGCATGCGCTACCACGCCTGGTTGGTTTTTTGATTTATTGTAGAGATGAGGTCTCGCTGCCCAGGCAGGTCTCAAACCCGCGGGCTCAGGCAATCCACTCACCTCAGCCTCCCAAAGCGCAGGATTACAGGCTGAGCCACCGAGCCCGGTCCCCTCTGTGTTTTCATAAAACTCAGTGACTTTCTTCATCCTATACTACCTGCTACCCTGGCCTGCAGGTGTGTATTTGTGCCATCTCTGGCCATCTCTGACCCCAGAGCCTAGTCGGCACCTGGGGTAGAGACAGCACAGGATACATGTGTGTTGAGGAAACAGGCACACACAGGTAGGGAAGGAGGGCTGCTGCAAGCTGGACTGGATGGAACAATATTCCAGAAGCTTGAGTGCTACCATGGCTCTGGTTACAAACATGTGCTGGCTTCCAAGTCCATCAGAGGACCACCGGAGGGATCCATCAGAGTGGCAGATGTGGAGAATGGCCACAGTCATGGATGGGCAGCCAAGAGGTCCCAGAAAGGAAGTGACACAGGCCACATGGATGCTAGGCCAGTAGACGAGGCAGTATGTGTGCAGGGTCCAGAAGGGATTGGGCACTGCTCATACGCAGCTGGTCAGTCTTGTGAGGGACGCCAGAAGGTCTCTCTGCTGTTGTCTGTTTCCAGAAGCAGAGCTGGACCCACTTTGAAACCAATGAGAAAAACGGTCCTGGACAGGCACAAACAAAGCTAGCCGTAGACATGTCAGGGTGGAAGGCATCTGCCCGCAGGGCTGAGACTCAAGAAAGAAACAGAAGAAGGGTCACAGAAGGAAGGCCTGGGGCTGCAAGGGGCCACAGGGAAAAAAGTGGGGTGGCAGGGCAGCTTCAAAAGCACAGCTGAAGTGGAATGATCCATTCCTAAAAAGCAAAGACCCCCATAAGAAGTTGCAGATCCTGGGTGGCATCATGTGGAGAGGCCTGGGGTGGGGGTGATGATGCAAGCAAGGCCCCACAGCCCTAGATATCCAGGGACCAGTGGGTGGCTCAGAGTGGCCTGAAGATGGATTGTTCCAGTGGAGACCAAGGCTTCGAAGGACCAAAGACAATGTGATTCCTGGAGAGCAGAAGCAGCAGGCATCAGACAGCACCAACAGCACCACCGTGCCTGGGCTCAGTGCTTCCTACGCAGCCCACAGAAGAAAGGCTGCCGCTCATGGCCACATGTCTCTACACACCATGTTCTTTCTTCACAAACCTTTAAAAACATAAAAAGCCATGCCCTGGTTTGTCAGCCCACATTTAGCTGCATATATCTATATTAAGCTTGAGGATTTTTCAGCCCTGTCTCATGTCCTCTGTTCACAAGAGTAAAGGAAGTAGGTGTGGAAACACACACAGCTCGTATTCCGGAAGCAAGTGCCCCTGGACAGATTCAGCTGTCTGATCAATAAGTAGTCGCTAAACTCTTAAAAGTTGTTCACCACACGCAGGGATTCCTAATGAAGAACGTGTTCTCCTTTTAGAGGTGATTCCCAGACTTAGATCACGGAGGGAATGCCAAAAATCATTCTCACACACACACACACACACACACACACACACACACACACAAGACGTCAAAAGTATTCTTGATGTTCCCTTTCTTTGGCCAAGCTCTGCTTTCTGGGGTGAGCAGGGAGATGGTGGATGGATGTCACAACTGTGATAGTCAGGAAATGGAATAGCATAAGCACCGATGGCTTCCCCAGGCCTGTCACCATTGGGCACTGCCCATGCTCAGACTCAATCCAGAAGAGAGTCCCAGCAGGGAATCCAGATACAGCCACACCCAGCATCACAGGTCATCTTCACGTTCAGAAACAGGTGCATACATCGGCTTGCTTACCCTACTACCAGTTCAGAAGGACAAACCCCA